GGAAGGAAGGAAGGAAGGAAGGAAGGAAGGAAGGAAGGAAGGAAGGAAAAATTCCCATATCAAATCTCTTTTTTTCCCAAAGACAGGAAGGTCCAAAATAGGTTTGCTGTACCTCTCTGACAGGGGAACAAGAAGAGATAAATGAAACCAAAGTGAAGATGAATAGACAGAAGGCTGCAGTCCTGACCTGCAGTATTTGTGGAATATTTGTGTTCTTATCTGAAAACCACCTGGCATGTATTTCCAGCAAGTGCCAGCTTTAGCGTTGCATGAAGAAAAATTCAAATGAATTGATCATGATTTGCACACTTCAGGAGATGAAAGAAAATTAAAACTTCTCAGAATAAAGGAAAAGGTACTACAATAGAAGCTGACAAAGGAAGCAACTTTCCATACAGAAAACTAAGAAAAGAGCAAGTCCATTGGGCAAAAGTGCTTACCCAAAGCAAGACACACAGACAATATTCATTATACTGGAACTCCAAAACATCTTTCAAGGCCAAACAGAAGAAAAAGAGATACTGTAAAATAGGAGACAGTAGATCCCTCAAAATGCAACTCCACCCTGCAAAAAGATAACATGACAAGTTGTGGTAGTTGATGACTCTCTGCTACAAGGAATTCAAACACAGGTATGCTAACAAATTCAGTGGCTCATGTAGTGTGCTGCCTCTTGGGAGCAAAGATCAAGAGTGTGATAGAGCAACTTCCATCATTTATGAAGTCCAATGAAAATGATCCCTTCCTGTTAATCCACGTGGGGACAAATGGTACTGGAAATAACACAGTTAGAGCCACATCACCTGAGACTTTGAAGGAAGGAATATTGCAAATGATTAACTGGTTATGTTAATAGTGTTGGCGGAAGAGACTTGGTTTCTGGACTATGGTCAGAGTTAACTGGACAATAGACTGCTAGAATGAGATGGATAGTACTCTTTCTGGAAAAAATGTGTTTGGCTGAAACATGGTAAGATTGACCAGGAGGGTTTTAAACTGAATCCTGGGGGAGCTGGAGTTAAAAAATTGAAGAAAGTACCTTAGATAAAGATTTATGCATTGTAGAAGGAGATTGGAGCGTTGCTATAATAGAGCTATTAAATGAGAGGGGAAATTGACAAGTCATGGCTTTCTTTATCTACATACTAATGCTTAGAATATAGGAAATAAAAAAGATAATACAGAAAAGTTAATATGATTTGAATAGGCATAACAAAGATTGAGTAAGATGAATTTCATGACTGGAAACTAACAAGTGAAGGATACAATTTGTTCAAAAGTACAGAAACAACAGAAAAAGAGAAGTTGCACTATACAGTATGTTAAAAGTATCCATATCTGCTCAGAAAGTCAAGTGAATGGATGTGATGATACTGTAAGTAGCAACTTGGCTAAAATAAGTGGAAAATTCATAAAAGTAATGTGTCTGCTATTGCCTATGCAACCAGAGAGAAGATGTGAAAGATGCTTTCCAAAAGCAAAGTGCAGGTCTTTCAAACCATCATGAAATAGAACTGATGTGGAACTTTCACTGCTCTAACTTCTGTTGGAAGACAAACTCTGCCAAGCACGGTCACTCCAGGAAGCATTTGACCTTGTTTCCAACAACCCTCTTCTTCAAATGGAGAAAGGCATGAGGGTTTTCAACTATACTCAACTTCCTGGTCAGGGAAAAAACAATAAAGACTTTTTTAAAAGACAGGAAGCCTTCGATGGACTTTTTGCTAAAAGAAGAAAAGACTGAACTGATCATTTATGGATTTGGGGATTAAAAAGGGTGAAAGAGGGAGGGGAAAGGGTAAGATGGCAATTACTTGATAGAAAGAAGGGTGGAAGTCAAAATTCTATGTTTTCTTTCTTTTTGTCACTTCTTTTCCTTATTGTTATTTCCTATCTTTTTTCCTTTTCCTTTTTTATACTTTTTTGTATTGTAAAATATTTTTTAAAACCCATACTCAGTTTGATACTGGTCAATAGGAAAGGCTTGAAGGTAATGAAAGGAAGTAGCAGGAGCACTAGGGAAAGTGACTACATTCTGGAGTAATAGAGCTTAAAAGAGAAATTAAAGCTTCGTGTAGCTGAACACATACCTTGGGGTTCAAGAAACTAGATTTTCATAAACTCATAGCGGTAATAATTCATGATACAGAAAATTAGTGAGAAAACTAGCTTCAGACTGACTGATGTTCCTAAACCAAAGCAAAATTCATGATCTTGTTAATATGAGAAGAAGCTTTAAAGAAGTTATGTTGAAATATGTACCAAAACTTTGGAAGTTAGTGTCTAAAAAAAACTCTAAATCTATTGAGCATGAAGTGTAGATTAATAGTTTTTCTGTACTGGAAAAATACTACTACTCTGGACTTAAATCCTGGACTGAGGACATGTGTTCACTCTGCCTTTGAATCTGCTCTTTATCAATGTAATGGACAGATTAGCCAATATTATTTTGCATGGTCATGATTCAAAAATGAGTCGCTCTTATCACAATATTTATATAGGTTTCTCCTTTTTTCTTTTTGGTTCAATTTTCTTTTCTCTTTTTTGAACATACTGTTTTGCATAATGTGATAGTTTTTCATTTTTCTTTTTGTAACATATAGCAATAAAAATATATGAAATTTTAAAAGTGAGTCAGCAGTGTGATATGGCTGCAAAAAAGGCAAATGTAATTTTAGGTTGCATCAAGAGAAGCATAATTTCCTAATCATGGGAAGTAATTGTTCCAATTTATTTTGAATTGGTCAGATTTTTACCTTTAATATTAGTCTGATTCTGAGCACCATACTCTAAGAAGGGTTCTGTGGAAAAGTTTCAGGGAAAGACAATCATAAGAAAAACACAAGAAACGAAATCTTGCAAACATAAGTGTTGAGTATGTTTAGCTTTGAGAAAATGGAGGGGAATATCTTCAAATATCTGAAAGAATATCAGACGAAAGATTAAAACCTGTTTTTTTTTTAGTGTTCTAGAATGAAAAACAGAATAATAGATTAAGTTACAGGAAGGCAGATTGTAACTGTCAGAAAAAATCTTTCTAACAGTAAGAGTAGTTGGACAATTGAATGAATTACTCAGAGATAGGAGACTTCCCTTTGTTGGATGTGCTCAACTGGAGACTAGACAGCTATATCTGTCAAGCAAGCTCCTCTGGTTTAGAAGTATTGTATCTTTTCCAGTGAGTAAACAAAAGACTCTAACTCAGGAGTAGATTTGTCTGCTGCTTATGTCACTGAAATTCTAGAAGAACAAACCCCTGTGAGTCTGCAAGAGTTGCAGCATTCATAGTCATGCCAAGGTAATTGAGTAACCATACATGATCACAGGCATGCTTAATCCAGCACTAATAACAGTAACCTCAAACACTACAAGAAGCAAACCGCAATATGCACTTGAGTAATACCTTGATCATAAAGGAAAAATGTAAATAGCCATTTTTATGAAGGACTAGCCGTCACAGCTATCTATATTCAGGATCAAAGCTGGAATTTCTTCCATGGGCCTCATATCAGTGCAGGAAACACATAGAACTGCAGTGCAGAGGGGCAGAACCACAGGTTGAGATCCCCAAGGCAAACTTTGTTGGAGAAAATTCCTGAGTTCCCTCAGCACTCTTCTCCCTTCTTAGTCACCTAAGTGATGAGGTTTAGGTCTGTCCCTCTACTCAGTCAGGGCACAATTTGTGAAGCCACCAATACTATTATTAAGATTCTGTAGAGTCTGGTAAAGCACACAAAGAACATGCTGGACAAGTTTCCTTGGACAAGGCCCCAACCGCATGATCCACAAAGCTTATACAGGCAATTCTGATACAAGGAAATAGAGAAGAAAAATTGCATCGGCTGTTACAAATATCTCCATAGTTGATTTCATTGACTTCTGCGCTACTGAGAAACCAGGAAATCTTTGATTTACATTCACACAGTTAGCTCGTAGCTTTTGAGGAATTTTTCCACTGGCAGTAGCAGCAGCCAGTACTTGGCTCTGATGGTAATGACATCCTGGCACTTGCAGGGGCATCTTAGCCTTTTGTGAGTAATTTCCTTATTTAAAGAGAAAAATGATCAGTATAGCTAAGTAGAATTCTATCCCAGATGCAACCCCATGAATCTACCTTCCACAACTCCCAGGTAATTAACAGAAAAATAAACTCCTGGAAACTACATTGTTAACTCTCTGTCTACATTTAATCATTACAACCACCTGCACTTGGAAGTGTGGCCAAGGGACCAAAACCAAGACAGAGAGAAAATCTGGAGGTGGAGAGCAAAGGAGGGATTTTTGCTGCAGAAATGCTTTCCTTTTTGTTGTGGTTCTCCTCCTTGCAAGCCATTGTGTCATTCTGGAAGGCTGCGCGTGAAAATGAAGTTTGCCATGTCTTTGGGTAGCCTGTGCAGAATGCCTGAGGTTCTGCTGCCAGTATCTGAAGGAGGTTTCACTTGTGCCTGTTTTATCCCTTTCTACTGCATGAGTCCTGGGGAAAAGATTGAAAAGCTGCTGCTGTCTCTCAAGGAGGCTTTTGCTGGAATTCCTGCATGGAACAGGAGGTTGGTTGCAATGACCTAAGACGTTCCTTCTCATTCGATGATTCTGATTCTATGGTTCTATATCACTGACTTCTTAATGGAAGGGATATATGGTTTGGCAGTCTGGCTTCCCCAGACCTGCTGAAGCAATATAAGATTTGAGCAAAGCACACAGTATTTTAGGGTTTTCACTGGGTAGCAATAAATTAGGAAGGGCTTTCTTTAGACTTCAGCATGTCTATTATAATGGAATAAAATATAATTATATGGAAAAAATGGCATGAAAGAAATCTGTATAAAGAGAGATTGATTAGGTGCCACCAAGTTAGTGTTGAGTCTTAGTTGCCATCTGGATAGACTTTCACCAGGATGATCTGTCCTCCACCTGACCTTTTAGGTCTCTCAGCGGGAAAGAGATATGAACACAAAACAGAAATCTCTAGCAGTAGCATAGGGAAGTCAGATTGCCAAACCACCCTCTATTGTCAGATTCATGGTGCAGGAAATCCTATATTTAAAACAAGATGATTGTATTGTCTGGCTTTGTTTAAATCCTGCCACAAGGAAAGCCATAGGATCTTACCTACTCTACAGCATTCCAGCATATACACAGCCCACTTCAGAAGAGACTTCATAGTCTAGCTATGGAGTCAACTGGTTTTATAGCTTCAGGCTCTCAGTTGCTCTGTTGTAATTGTCTCTGCATGATGGCCCTCCATACCACAAGCAGGTGGAGATGGCTGAAGGAAAATGGCTCACCATCAGGCACCCAGGGAGTTCATTACAAAGCTCCCTGGCCAGAACTCAATCCTAGGAGAGCTGCCAAGAGCCTCATCCTCATAATATCAAATGAACGTGTCGCATATTGTGGGACCATTGTCACCTTGCGGGCTGTCAGTTGTTGACAGCCAGTGAAATGCAAGGAGGTCAAGGTGATGCACAGGGCAGAGGTAACGTGTTACATGTTATGTTAACCCAAAGAAGGAAAAAAGAAAAAGAAACCAAGTTCTATGTTTTTCAGAGTATGCCAGAGGTAGGGAGGCTGTAGCCCTTAAAAAAATTACTGTATTCCATCCACCAGCATCCTCCATGACAGGCTATGCTGGCTGGAGCACTCCTGCCTTAGGCTCTAATAACTATCAACTGAAAGCACTATTTGCATAATCTGGGGTTACAAGATGTCTTAAATAATGTATATTCTATAACATGGTATTTTAAAAGAACAGGTAAGACAGAATTGTGGTGATTCCAGCAGGTGGATTTTAGAGGTATGCCTGTTCTGGATGTATAAGAAAGTTGACCTTGATGGAGATATGCAGGAACTGTTACCTAGGCTCTCCCCTTATGGAAGAGGTTTGCAGTTACGTCCTCTTGGATCTGGCATTGATGCTGGACAATCATGCAACATCTGGAGGAAGTGGCTGTGGCAGACAGACCAGCTGTGCCTATACTTGAAGGAAAACTTGGCATCAGTGACACATTCACTATCAGAACACTGGATTATTCCAATGTGTTCTTCATGGAGCCACTCTTGAAGACAATCCAAAAAATTGCAGCTGGCTCCACATGTGGTAGTGCATGTGTTCAGTGGCACTTCTTGGTGGTGTTACAGCACCCCACGGGCACACAGCGACATCATTGCTTTAGGAACCTGAGTCAGGGGGCTCCCTTTGACATACAAAGCCTCACATGGCTTAGACTGGAGTTTGCTGCAGGACTGCTTTTTCCCATGCTGCCTACCTGCATTTTCAGATCCTTCATGGAGCAGGGATACATCTAATAATAATCAATTCTGCTTTCTCTGTGATGGGGCCTGCCACAGGAGCTGAGGCAAACCTCCTACATATTATGGTTCTAGTTTGTAGAGAAGTGTTTACACTGTGGTTTGCATTATTTTAACTGTTCTATATTAATGTCGGTACGCTACTCAGAGCCATTTGGCCATGGGCAGCATATACATCTGTAAAAACGTAAATAAACTTTCCTTCAAACTAATTATGTAGAAGTCAGAATTCTAATGTGTTTAAATGAAATGCTAACTAATTGGAAGGTGGGCTGAAGATCTCTAGCCCGACTTTTCTTTCTGCGTTCTTTTCCATCTTAGGGAAACTAGAAGCAGAACGCAGATGTAAGGACACTGAACTTTTTATTTGCAAACTCTAAACCAGAAGGTCACTCAAAATTGCTGTCATTCGAGATGTAACTTGAGATGACTTGACAACAGACAAACCTGACCCACTGATACGTAACTCATTATTTTTTCCAAACTCATTTTTCAGTAAGGGCCCTCAACCTGATATCTTGGAAACAATACCTGGACTCTTTTTATTCGGTAATTATAGCAAACGTACTTTGCCTCTTTGGGGGGGCGGGAACCAACAAGTAGAAAGTGATGATGGTGCATAATGGAACAGATACCCCTGGAGATTATTTCAGTTCCTTTGTACTGCTAATGACAAGAGAATAAATAGAGCCATTACCTATACTTAAATATGTGCTTTTCGATTACTCATTATCCAGGCAAACTGGAAAATTGGTACTTGAGCATGTCTATGAGCCTAATGCTGTTTTGCAAAGAAGCCTAGCTTTGTTTATTAAAATGATGTTTAATCATTTTATTTTGCATAGAAGTGGGATGCCTGAGAGAAAGCCACAAAAGCTTAATGGGCTGCCATGTAGGAAATGAAGTTCTTTGTAAAACAACCACTAGAGGACAGTTTTGGTAAGTCATAAAAGGTAAGTGATGAATCCCTTTTGTCATGGGATAATTAGTCTTGCCGGGGGAGGGGGGCGGGGGGGAAGCTTCTGCAGAAGTTGGACTGACTAGTATAGACTATATGTATGATTAGAGTCAAGTCTGTTCCTCTGTAGCCCCAAAAATATCCAGGGATAACTGCCATAATACAGAGTGATTTCCCTCATCACTCTTCGTTGCAGTCCCAGGACCACCATCAACATTATCTGGAGGATCTTTCAACCCCCAGCAAAATGCTGCAGAGTGAGAGTCCAGAGTACAGGTAGTCCTTGCCTAGTGATCACAACTGGCAACTCCATCTCTAAGCAACACAGTCACTAAGCAAAACATCAAGTGACCACAATGGGCTTACAATCTCACTTCCACAGTGGTGGGTTAAGTGAGACATCACGTGACTGTGACTTGCAATTTTACTGATGTCTTCTCTGTTGACTCAGCTTGTTGGGAGCTGTTTGTGAAGTGCCCGAATCTTGATCATGTGGCTGCAGGGATGCTGCGATGGTCATAAATGTGAGGACTGGTCATCAAATTACTTTTTTCAGCACCATTGTAACTTTGAACAGTCACTAAACAGGGCAGTCATCAAGTAAGGTCTGCCTGTACCATCTATAGTATCTAAAAATCAGAAAGAAAGAATGTATCATGACCATATACTGCTTTTGGGGAAACCCAACCAGAATATTTCCTTGGGATGTGTATTCAATTTCCCTGTGCAATGCTTCAGGAAAAAATATCTGTGTTAATAGCAATAAAAATAAGAAACTGAAATAGTTTTTTCTCTTTAGAATAAATGTATGAATATACATCATTTCAAAAAATAATTAGCTGTGTTAATTTGTTAAGACAGATCCTAAAGACAATGTATTAAGGCATACATTTACTGAAATATAAAATATGCTTATCAGTTATGAAAATAAACTATTTTTGAAAATATGCATTTTTCAGGTAGTTTTTAAAAAACAAGCTATTTAAATTTCTGCTGCAATTTTATTGTCAAGTGCAATTAGTTAATAATTATAAGTTATTTGTGAGCAAGATTGGGGAACCTGTGTAGTTTTGATGTATGGAAACACAGATGGAAAATCTAGGAAGACCTTTTACTATGTACTACCATAAATGATATATCTCATCTAAGAAATTACAGTAGCAGAAGCTAGAAAATGAAAAAGAGAGGGAAGATATTTTCATGACTATTGCATTTGATATTTGACAAAGACATTAGAAAAATAATAGGTATGGGGAAAAGATAATCAATATAAATCTACAACTAGATCCTTTGTTCTTTGTATTCAATTTTACCATATTTTTTGTGAATTATGTTACAGCGTACTTACACAGGATAGTGAAACTATCCCTTATGCTATTACCATGTCAAGAAAATGTCATGCCATGCCTCTGACAATGGTATTTATTGCACTGAAAAGGTAAAATATGTTATTATATTTCCAGAAGTAATTAAACATAATTAAATGAAAGAATGATACCCTACAATAATTCCCTCCAATCGGATGATTAATTATTGGTGTACTTTCTAACTAATACAGCACATTTCATATGCTGTTGTATTTAAAATGGTTTTCTTTCCCCCAGCATGCCAAATTGTCCCCAACACATGCTTATTTTTTTAACAAGTTAAGCATTCAATATTTGTTCTCTTGGAAGGAGAATTAAAAATATAAAGAACCTGGATGTTGGTGTTGCCATGGTGCTTTTTTTCACTAGCCCTAACTGCTAGAACATGACTTGTAAACAAATTCATGATTGACAGTTTTAGGCTACAGACAGACAGACAGCTGTGTTGCAGTGCTATCCACCAGACTTGACCAGCCGAAAAATATATCAGTAAAAAATTTGCTGCCTTGATTGCCGAGCTCTATTCAGCCACCGTAATGAAGTCAGTGACAGGTATAGATTGAATGTGGCCAAGTTCAGAAAAGCAATGGCTAGATTAGCCTGGCTTGCCTCCTTCCACCAAGCATCATCTGTTGGAGGGCAAGTTCCAACCACTTTCCTTAGATGTAGAAGAGTAGGGTTGGGCCAGTGTAGCTGGGTGCTTAAAATGGCAGATTTACTCACCTATCACCTTGCCCAACGGAGAGACACACCTATGGACATGCTAACTGATACCCAACTATATCTTTCTGCCTCTGCGAAAGAGTTTGATCTGGCGGGACCCAGGAGACGGGGCCTTTTCTGCCATGGCACCTGCCCTGTGGAACATTGTCTGTTCGTCCCCCCGAGGTGAGACTGGCCCCATCCTTGACATCCTTCTGGAAAGCCCTTAAAACATGGCTGTGTCAGCAGACCTGGGGATCTCAAGGAAATGGTGATTTGATGAGATGGCTGCATTGTTTTTAACATCAGTTCTCTCCACTATCTTGTTATTAATAATATTGTTGATGTCTTTTAATTGTAGATTCTAACATTTTGATTTTATGATTGTTTTTATTGTTAGTCACTTAGAGTTACTTTATTGTGAGATGGGCGGCTATATAAATTGATAAACACACAAACAAACTGGGCTATTTCTGAACATAATTCTGGTGCTTTCCTGAAAGAACACTATGCCCATGATCAAAAGCAGCCCAAGCAATCATTCACAAAGGTAGAGAGGAGGGCTTGTACAGAGCAGGAACTCTGGGATAAATTTCCTCCTTTTCTTCCATTCCCCTCACCTCTGCCTGCTGCCTGTCAGCTCAGCTATCATTGAACGTGGGCTCAGTGCTTTTTTTATTAGACCCCTGTTCAGAAATAGTCTGATTGACATGTCACTGTGAGAAGGAGAGGCTGCAAAGAGTATCAAGGGCATTCCCTCCAACTGAACCCTTCCTCTTTGAATGTCCATTGAACTGTTTCTGAAATTGGGTCTAGTTCTCATCTGAAACAGCACTAAACCTGCATTTAAAGGTCTCTTCAGGGCTGCAAGATGAAAGTGAAGTTCTCCACTTCCTCTGCTGCTTAGTCCACTGTATGCCTCTTTGGAGAAGGAGCTTCAGTCATCCACTTCTGCCATAAGTGGCAGGGTGCCAGAGGAATTACATAGCCCCAGGTGACACAGTGAGGCAAGGTCTCAACATACCCACCAGAATTCTTCTGCTAGGTGCTGTGGATCAACCGGGCATGTGCCAAAATATTCTGGAGATGCACCCTTCCACTGTGCCACCATATACCCCCTAATTCAGTGTTGTCCAAACTTGACCACTTTAAGATGAGTGGACTTCAACTCTCAGAATTCCCCAGCCAGCCATGCTGGCTGGGGAATTCTGGGAATTGAAGTCCACTCATTTTAAAGTGACCAAGTTTGGACAACACTGCCCTAATTCAACTCTTGGCCTGGAGCAATGTGGCAGCTGAGAACTGCTTATGTATTCTCCAGTAGGCATTGTTTCAAATAGAAGTCAAAAGTGCTGATAGCTAAGACAACTTTTAAATTGTGCCACAGGAAAATGTCAATGGAAGAGAAGCAAGAATAGGGGTGGTTCCCATCTCTGCCCCCAACATCTCCAGTGAGGGAAGGCAGCTTGACCTTGAGGTCTTCTGCCCTTCCCTGGAGGACCTTAGGGTATTGGCTCTCCAAAACAGTAACATCTGAACATTTTCCATCTTTGTTTTACTCATTACTCACTTTGACATATACAATAGGAACTAGAAAAGGAGGAGACCGGATGATTAGACACATTACCTGGGACTTGTTCCTTCAACCCCACTGAACAAAAATAGACAGTAAGGACAGAGAGAAAATGCATAAACATGTTTCCAGTTGGAAACCATCAAGCCATCAGAAGCCCATAAAAAAGAGGCAGAAAGAAATAAGAATCATCCCTCTGAAAATGTATGGGATGACAGGACATGAAGGAGATCACAGACACAACTCATCACATGACCCCCATTTTGGGTAGACAAAGCAACTCGAGACATGCTTTTGCCAAATATTGACATAACAATGGAGTGGTACAGCACTGTCCTTTAGGACAATGGTAAGTAACTGATAGCCCTGAAATGGATGATGCCAACCCCCTTGAAGGTACTGTGATATCAACCCCACTTCACCTCTGCCTTTTCCACTATGGCTTCTTAATTCAGGGCAAGCATATTTCTATACCAATCACCAACAACATGGTAATTAAATAGTGTGCCTAAACACTTCATGTTGGGGTTCAGATTTCAATAGTTTTATTATTTCAAGAATAAACTTAATTAAGAAAATTAAAAATGGAAATTAGAAATTATTTTTCTCCTTATCTTCTGATGCCACTAAAACCTGAAAAGGGGTGGCTTCAAAATTAATAAAAGACTATAATTATATGCTTTGAGGGTTTTTGTTGTTGGCCTGTGGAACTCAATAACAGAAGCCTTTTCATAATGAACTGTAGCTACACAGTTTTGCAGATATATGTGTTTTCATAGCTATCTAGAACAAAACATGACCAAATCAAAATATTTCAGCTTCAGAATCTATGAACCTATTTTTGAGCCATTTCCTTAATGCGCAATTCTCAATTGCTTTGAGAATTCAACAGCAGTTATCTTGTTGCTTCAAATTATGGCACTAATCCAGAGGATGAGAGAATCATAGGCTTGCCCATATTCTAAGGTTCCACATTCCTGAAACATGGACCACATAGAGCTTTTGGTTCTGGAAACACTCACTGATGTAATCCAGTCAATAACTCAATCACTTCACAGTAAGAGAACTTCTGAATAAGTAGACTCTCCATCCCAAAGTCTCCTAATTTCAACTTTGAAACAGAACAGTACTTGAGCAGGCTGTTCTACCTATTAAGATAACCAAAATGCTATGGACACTTCTGAGCTGGGTCTGTAGTTTGTGCAGAAATTTGATTGTCACACTAAGTCAACAGTAACTAGATAGATAGATAGATAGATAGATAGATAGATAGATAGATAGATAGATAGATAGATAGATAGATAGATAGATAGATAGATAGATAGAAAGATAGATAGATAGATAGATAGATAGATAGATAGATAGATAGATAGATAGATAGATAGATAGATAAACATCTGGCCAGTAAGTGGCAGAGATGTCTTAGCCAACCTGTGCTCAGCTGTCAGCTGGGCCTCACCCAATCCTTCCAGTGGCTCCACAGGCTGCAGCAACAACAATACCTGCAAATGGGAAGTTTCCTAGTTGCCTGAGCAGAAAACACCTGGACCTAACTGCAAGATGAGTGGTAAGCCACTTGTTTTGCCACAGTAAAATGTGGACAAGGTGTTTGTGGTTTCAGATGCAATCATCCAACAAATGAAGTAGAAGCTGAAGTTATGAAGCAAAGCAAAGCAAAATACAGGAAATATTCACAGGGAAGACAATAAAACAAAACACAGCAGCATGCGATAGAAGAGACTAAATACAGGACATAATCTCAGATTCCTGTCACAGCTGGGAGCCCTCTGTCCTTATCAGAAGCAGCTCCAGATGTTTCCCCAGATTACTCCAGGTAGTGTATATAGTGATGCCTATAGTGAGGTTCATCCCTAGGAGCAGTTTTCCAGTTTATATAGTATTCCATTGCCATTATTCAGATTTCCAGTTAAGCGTGCTTTCTGTTTCAACTTTTTGCCTAGTAGTTTTCAAAAGTACCAACCCACCATCACATCCTCCCTGCCAAGTGGCTTGGCCTTGGCAAGGCACATCTAAAGGAAAGACGTAACACTCTTAAGTGAAGCTGTATGAGAAGCATGGCACAGAGACTTTGTAAACAACAAAAGCCTTATGTAGCCATGCTACTCACAAGATTACAGAAAAGGAGGCATTTTAAACCTAAAAGCACAAAGAAAAATGGGATAGACCTCCTAAACTTCTTCACCATTACAGCTGTCTTCCACAGCAGAACCACATGTCTGGAAGTACCCAAATGAAGATTTTGA